AAAAAAAAAAAAAAAAAAAAAAAAAAAAAAAAACGAAAAGCAAAAAAATTTCCGATTTATTTTCCAACAATTTTACAAACTGTGTATTTGTTTGTTTGTTGCATTTTTTTCCACTTATCAGACAAAATCCGTCATCCACCGTCATCCACAATTTTTCATCCTCCGAACGTTTCATACCAACTGTAACCGTAGGCAAATAGCAGCCAAAAATCACCGATCCTACAGCTAGGATCTAAACCGATCAACTGTACTCTGTTTCAAACTTGCCTTCTATATCAACTGATAACCAGTAATCAACTAATTAAACAAACATCAAAATTTTCTTGTTGTTGCCTTCTTGTTTTTCGCTAAAGGTTATTCAGCCAAAAAAGAAGGAAATCGAGTAAAAAATTTACAGAAAGCATTTGTAATAAATATGCTATTGATCTATGAAACATTATTCCTTTTTCCAGTCTTCTTTTCTTCTTCATTCAATTTTCATTTTTCATATACTAATAAACACAAAAGAACACAGCAGAACAGGACGATAAATGTTAATTGAAAATAAGCTGCAGCTGAAGTTAACAAATATAGCAAAGCAACTAAATAAGACTGGTTAACATTGGCTGAAAACCTTTGCTGATGTTTATTCGTCCAACAACACTTGACGTCTGTTTGTCAGCACATAAAAAAAAGCCCTTGCAACAATGTATTCCCAGCTGAAAAAGTGATGACAAAAAAATGAATAAGTAAATAAATAAATTGAAATAAAAAGCAAATACTTTCATGATCTGCTCAAAAAAAGTAACACAAAAAAAATGCAAATATTTCAATGCTCAAAGTTAACGAATTATTAGGATGTAAAAATATTGGGGAAAAGAACTTCTATAGATCATTAGCGTAGTGATCAACAATCATCACCACTGATATTGCTCTCCATTCATCGTTTCATATTTTCCAATTCAGGTTTGGTTAACCGTCTTCTTACTGAACAATCAATTGAGGCAAAGATATAAAATTGCTAATTTCCTTCTTTTCCATATATCAGATGTTCCTCACAGCCAACAATACTTACAAACCTTTTTTCTCCCCAACTATAATTTTCCTTCTCTTCTGCCAACATACTAAACTTTTTTTTCTTCTAGCTTTTCCTGCTTTTTTTCCCTCTTTTTGTGTT